ATTAAACAGGAGTAAACAAAACAGTGCTGTTACTTAACTGTGTTGTGATATATCTCACTGACGATGGAGAACTGATTCAAAGCCCTCCTTCAAAGAGAAACGCTACATGCAGTATATACATTTAATAACAATAATTGCATGTATTTGTATATGTAGATTTAAACTGTTTGGGTGCATTTGTAGAAACTAAACTTTTCCTGATTCCCTGACGAAATCTCAAAGTCCTGAGCTTTGGTTTTGAGTGTATGGTTTTAAATGTTCCTGCTTTTCTTGGATGTGAGTCATAGGGCGGCTTCTCAGGAAACACCTTTCCTTTTACTCTTTTTTTATTTTTTCTGTTAGGTAATGAAATATCAATAACAAGATATTGTCCTAATAATCACATAAATACCTAATCCTCATCTTCAGAGCAGGGGGACCACTAGTGTTGCAGCCGTTATTTGAAATGACCCATAGTGGTTTAGTTATTGAGCTGATTTAAAATACCTGCATCTTGTGAGGGACACCTGGTTGCAAAGAACCAGAGGAAGCTGTTAGAAATAATCTGAAGACCTTGATCATTCAGTAAAAAAAACAGATTCAAATTTGGGATAACATGGGTCAGAGGTATTTGAATGATTGAACTGTGTGTGAATCAATTAGCTGATTTTATATTGTTTGTTGTGAGTTGTATGTTGTAAGTATCTTGTTGCTGTTATCGATGTGTGGATGATGTACGACCCCTTTGCACACGACCCTCAGTGTAAATCAGCCAAGTCATTTATTTGCAGACTGTGATGAGTGTGTTTAGTTTGGGCCGGTGGAATCCAGGCAGAGACGTACTGAGCTGACAGTCGGTTAATCCGCTCTAACTTCCCTCATCCATCACTCCTTTGTTCACGTCTGCTGCCGGTTCAGATCATACTGGAAGAAATTAATGCACCCTTCAGAGCTGTGTGTGTGTCTGTGTGTGTGTGTGTGTGTGTGTGTGTGCAGACCTGTATGATTAACAGGGATGATGCTGTACGTACATAGTGTCATTACCATGGAGATTTATCTGAGCAGTATCCATTATTAAACTTTGTTTTGCATTAGTTCTGTAGATGGGGACTGGAACTGGAAGAACTGTTGAGCTAAATTTAGAGTGACTTCACATCCAGACACTGCTGATTAGTGGAGCTGTTTAGACCCTTAAATGGCTGCGTTTATGGAAAACTGTACTTGATGTCTCAGCTGCAGTGTTCAACTTCCCACTGAGACGAGCTGGTGTGTGTGTGTGTGTGTGTGTGTGTGTGTGTGTGTGTGNTGTGTGTGTGTGTGTGTGTGTGTGTGTGTGTGCGTGTGTGTGTGTGAGTGTGCAATCGTATAGAAGGTGGGCAGTTGTCGGAGTTTAATTTGAAACCTGCAATACGTCAGACAGGAGGAAAAGAAATGAAGTGACATCAATGCGTTTAAAAACAGAACAGAACAATATCAGTCATTAAGAAGCTTATGAAAGTTTGGACATATTCAGTTTTCAGTTCAATCTGAAAAATTTGTATTTTCATCACTTTACACCCTCTCTCTCTCTCTCTCTCTCCTTACTTGGGTGGGATTTAAAGGGCACAAAACGTAACTTAAATAACATCACTTGTCCTCCAGTCTGATATGAGGGATATTTAAGGAAACGTGACACAGCTCATCCATGTTATTTTTGCTGTTTCAGATGATGATAAAAGCAACATGACATTCAGTGAACTCTCACAGGTGGATCTGATTCCCACTTTTGGAGAAAGAGGTGAGCATTTGAGTGTAAACATGTTGTATGAAATGCCTAAAATACTAATTGTGGCTCAGTAGATGTGCTAACTGAATGAATGTCCTAACTTCTCCTCATGTAGGTCTTCTCTGGAATAAAAAATATGCTTCACGGTCTAATTACAAGGTCTGGAGCTTTCAGTCATGTCACATGATCTTCATCGAGATGCTTCTCAGCTCCAGCCACTCCAAACAGGTACAGACATTACCAAGGTGAGTAAAAACACGGATTAGTAGCTTTATATAAAATACATAAGGGTTGTATGAGCTATATATAACAAAACCTGTTATGTTTAGGTTTGTCAGATGGGGCAAACACTTTTCAAGTCTTTACTGAAATATTCTCATCATGCTGCGGTCCTCTGTTGGTGCCAGTATTCAGCTGTCAAGATCATGTGTCAGTTACAAAACAACATCCCTGCAGCTGTCAAGGATTAACTGCCTTGCTCAAGAGCACTTTGAGCTCTGAAATGGGCTGTGGAACAGACTCTTGATGCCGCATGAGCAGACTCTCGTGTTGTCCACAAGACTGATAGGAGTGTTTTGTTGTGTTTGTTTCTTAATGTTTCAGATGAAGCTCTTAGGGGACTGGGGTCCAGAAATGAATTGTTGACCCCCACTGATGCTCTATCCATTTCTCATACTCTTTATGTTTGGATAACTTTGAGATCATTTATTTAGGAGGATGCAAAACAAGTCAAGGGAAACTGCAAGCTGAGCTGTAAATTGTAAAATATGCTTTACTGGATCAGGGGTCTTGATGTAGGGGCTGATTCAGGGACAGGGGGGGTGCACTAGACCCGGCTGAAATCTGAAGTGAAGTTGAAGTGCCCCTGTCCTCTCAGCAGTGTGTTTTATCACTTTGGCTATTAACAATAATTTCTTCCAATATATTTTGCAGTACACAGTGTGCTGAAGAAAGAATTTTTTAAATACATTCAGTGATGTGTGGTTTTGCTCAAAGCTATTAAGCTAACAGTAAACAAAGGACTGTCTTAAATGTTCACCTCACTGAACCAGGAATTGTACATGGATGTTGGACACTTAACTAGCCCCTGATATAGAGAACTTGTTAATTCACCGCTGCCCTGGTGGATTTGAGGTTAAGAATGAAATCTACAAAAATATTTACAAATACGAGCTCAAGGGAGGATCACAAGTTTACCACCAAGAACCTGACTCAGTCTACTACAAACACTCACAAAACACACAACCTAACAATGGTTTTAATAAGCAATTGTATTAAACAGTGCTAAACACAACAACACAAATTATCCATCCATTGCATGCTGGGAGAGTTTCCTTCGGGGCCTGTTTTTGGATGTTACAATATGAACTCATATACATTTCAGGCTGACTCCAATATCAGCATTGAATCTATTTTTATTCTTCTCCCACCACCTCTGTAATATAATCCAAGCAAGAAATGAAACTTAAATCCAAACTCTTACCATACAAGAGGAAATAAATCAGCTCAGACTGCGAAACACAGGGTGTGTATGGAATGAAGAGGAGCACTGTCATACATTTTTCAGAGTGAGATGAAAAGTCTTAAAATAAGATTTGAACTCAGGATCCCTATGGGGCTGTGTGATAATGTTGGGGTCCCACTAAAGTCATCATGATCACTCATTATATTATCCCTTAGAGCTGAATGTTGCATTTCAATTATCACACGATAATTCGTTTTCAACTGGGGGGCTTTGGACCCCTTGGTGGCCTGAGCCCCGGGTCACTTGTGTTCTTCATCTGTCTGATGGATCAGTATTTTTCAGGCTGGATTATCCATCAATTAATGTTATTTAATTCCTGTCTGTTTTAATTGATGTGTGGAGTGTGTGTGTGTGTGTGTGTGTGTGTGTTACATGAGGTGTGTGTGTGTGTGTGTGTGTGTGTGTGTGTTACATGTGGTGTGTGTGTGTGTGTGTGTGTGTGTGTGTGTGTGTGCTACATGTGGTGTGTGTCTATGACCTCTGCAGCGCGCAGCACCATGGACAGCGCACCAACATGTGTGCGTCCTGATTGGAGCGCACATTCCCCCGCTGCTGCCGGGATGTGAGAACACTGACGTGAGAACACTGATGTGAGCATCTGACTCTCAGTGAACCCTCTGTGTCCATGTAAAGAGCAGGAGTGGTCACTGAGGGAGGGGTCGCATACATGGTGAGGGGAGGGTGCGCGTGCGTGCGTGTGTGTGTATGTGGTGCCCCATCAGATTTTCTCCCCGAAGAGGGAAGAAAGCCTCCAGGAGAGCAGTGCAGTGCAGAGACCCTTCAGGCCAGGACTCAGATGAATCGTGACACTTGGAAAAAGAGAAAAACAGAGGGACAGCAGGAGCAACGCCCACCGACCAGAGTCTGGAGTGTGAGTGGAGACAAAATACGAGCAGTTCGTGACACGCATGGTTAACTCAGAGGTCCCCTGCACGACGAGGGAAAACACACATGCAATATTACTATTTTTCTTTTTTCCCTATATCAGCTCAGAGTGACCAGCGCACACTACTGCAGCTTTGGATGCGCTTTGGATGTGCGCAATGGAGCACGAGTGGCACCGCAGCCACGGAGCGCGCTGTACCCAACTGTGAATTTCGTTTGTTCCAGTACGAAAGTGTTTTATTCCTCCGCTTCAACTTCTGCACCTACTCCAAAAAAAGATACAATTTGAGGAAAACCATTGGCTGCGACGGAACCTGTTGTCGACGACGATTTGTTGCGCACTTGGAATATTTTTACTCCCATAAGAAGTGAGCCCATGCAGGAATAAAGCGGCTGAAAGGGGGGAATGAGTGTGTGGATGCGTTTGATGTGATGATCTGCAGCTCTGTGGGAAACAGCTTCCAACTTCATACTGCTCCTCTCTGACTCTGTGACCCTCTGTCTTAGCGACGACTCAGCACATCTGTAGTGAGGATGTCCGCTGTTTGCGAGGAGAGTAAACTGATTTTTTTTCTTGTCTGATACATTTGGAGAATGGCGGCTAAATATAGTCTGAGTGCTGACGAGGCTACAATGAACAGGTTGGTGTTGAGCTGAAACTTGTGGACATGTGGGAAGATGCTCACTTCTAAGACATTTTAATCCACACCACAGACAGAGTGAGTGTCGGGTCGAAGGGAAGACAGAAAACCGACCATTTATTTGCTTGGAAACATTTATTCACATCAGTGTAGTTCACTCGGGGAGAACGGAGACCAACAGGCGATCTTTGGAAGCAGCTTGTTGATGGCACTGCGCACCGGGAGGACTTGGTTTGGGCAGGTCTTGCGCAGGGTCTCTCGGCTGCAGGGCTCCTGGTCCAGGCGATCGAGCAGTCTCTTGTGTCTCTCCGCGAATCAGGAGCAGGATTTCGGGTTCTGTGGCCGGGATAACCGCAAAGGAGGGAATATCCATCGCTGCTCCGACTCCGGCGCCCTCCGCGGCCACCCTCACCGGAGCGCACCTTTCTGCGCCTCCGCCTCCAGGCGCTGCTCACACGGCTTCCCCCTCGCTTGCTGCGCCTTCCCGGGGAACCCGAGGGGACATGAACCCCTCGGTCGCCGGTTCCTGTTGGCCATGAAGCGGCAAAACGTGCGGACCTTGTCCCTGATCATTTGCACGTTTACATACCTGCTCGTCGGGGCCGCCGTCTTTGACGCTCTGGAGTCCGACTTCGAGATGCGGGAGAAGGAGCAGCTGGAAGCCGAGGAGAAGCGTCTCCAGGGGAAATATAACATCAGCGAGGCTGATTACCGCAAACTGGAGACCATCATCATGGAGGCAGAGCCCCACAGAGCCGGGGTGCAGTGGAAATTTGCAGGGTCATTTTACTTTGCCATCACGGTTATAACCACTATAGGTAAGTCTCAGTCTCTCTTAACGAGTCCCAGTCTGTAACACCAGTGTAACCGAGCCTCCATAACCATGACAGCTGCCTCTCAGGGTCTTATCAGTGTTGCGCAACAGTGCATGGTTTATTATGAGGACAGTTACATTTACATTCAACCCAGTAAACCCGTCAGCAGCTGATCATCGACACTGTGCCACAAGTCTGTAGACAAAGTTTGAAGCAACATGTTGCAGCTCTCTGCGGAGGGAGAATCACTTCGTGTCATCTCATCGCGGTTAAGAGAATATTCGGTTTTGCACTTTCTAAAAAAAAAAAATCCTCTTTGTAAAGGGGAGGAGTGACGTAGGCGCGCTCAGAGGTCTGTTCTCCTGTGATTTCCGCGGGTGCACCTCCTGTCTGTGGAGGGACAGAGAGTGTGACGCTGTGTTAATGTTTCTGTGAGTTTGTGCTCAAGCTGGAAAAAGACGCAGAGCTTGAACTGAGTGAGAGCGGCGGGGTGGTGCTGAAAGAACAGCTCCTCTGAGCCAGGCCGCAGCCAGGAAGACGAAGTGATCCCACTTCACTTAGTTTGACATCTTACACTCTATTCACTGTTGAAGCCACAGGCTGGATCTACTTCACGTTTCAGATGGTTCCTGGAGAACTTCTTTCCTACAAGTAGTGATCATAAACACAAATAAAATAAACAACAGGTGAATGAGAGCTGGTGATCATAGAAACTAAAAAGAATCCTATGTGAACCCAAATAAATCAAATTCTTTTAAGGCACGTTTTTATAATTGTGATTATATTTATTCATTTATTATCATCCTATGAGGAAAGAAGAATTACCTCTTTTTGCATTTGCATCCCAGAGATTTATTCCAAGCTGTGAAGAGGAGGGGGGGAATTAAGTTCCTTTATGTTTTCTGCTCCTCAATCAAACCACCCTCCTCTCTGCATGTTAATCACTGCCCCTCTGAATGAAGCTACTGTAGTTGCGCTTTAATTGAATTGATTCTATAAGGTGAGAGGCTATGGGGGGGTTACGTGGTGTAATTTAAGATGTCAGTCAGAGTTAGATATGGTCATTTGAAGTTGGAGGTCACAGAGGTGCGTTTCCTCCATTTTAGGTGTTATTTAGAGGAACGGGCTGGGGTTGTGTTGGAGCTGCATGGGGGGGGGGGGGGTGCTAATGCACCACGCAGGCCTGTCCACCAGTTTGCTGGGCAACACTTTAAGAGGCATGACTGTAACAGAGCTGCAAAGGTGAATTCACTGTTGTTTCTAGGCCGCACGACGAGAGCCCATTGTAATATTCATGTTGTGTGAAGTGGCTACATTCACTGCGGCGGACTGAGTCTCTCCTCAGGTTTTACCACACTCTCAGCTGCTGCAGCAGCATGAGTAGCAGCAGCTCTCACATCTCTATGAACGCATGTAGGATGGAGGAACTCAGCTCGGCTGGAAAAGCACAGAAAGTTTCATCTCATCGTGTTAGTGAAGAGCTGAAACTTCTCATGTGTCTGAAACAGAAAGCAAGAAAACTAATTTATCAGAGCATTGTTTCCTAAACTCCTTCTGGTATTAATAACAAGTTCTGAGCAGATTCTAAATAATCTGTTGAAGGGTCTGTTTTACTGTTTAAAGTTTTGTGTGACATAGAGCAGAGTATTTGATATATAGCCACATGGGTCAACTTGGGAAAAATACCCTGTGCCTTGTTAAAGTGAATGGATTTCCTCCAGAATCAATGACATTTTTTAATAAAATCTTAAAGAGTAGATTTAGATTTTAACTACTTTTTTCTTAGGCCTAAATGAACTGGCCCTACTCGTAAGTAGGTGCAGAAATGATTAAAACACATTAATGAGCCACACTGTTGCACTGGGTGATATGTTCCTTCATAATGTTAACATGGATGCCGTGGTATATTAGGAATCCATCTCTGATACACAATGTGGGGTTGTAAATGTTCACTGTGGAAACACACACAACTGAGATCCAAATGTTTGCTTACATTTCCAGAACACAGCTGTTTGAGTTCTTTAGTAAGAATTAATTTTGCATGTTGGATTTTTTGACCCTCATGAAAGGACAGAATGTCAGTAGCATTGTCATTGAACTGCATCTGCGGTGCATAGTAGAGCCTGCAGCTCCAAACATTACATGTTTCAGTGAAGCGAAGACAATCACAGGAAGACATCTCTATGTTTATTTCTTTTTTTCCTTTTGTTGTGATTTGTGTGACTGTCCAGACGTCTTGAGGCAGCTCTGTTTCATCAGACACACAAGAATCACTCTCAGGTAGACTTTGACCCACGCAGCCACTGGGGTCTTCAGGGACCGCAGCTTTGATTTGCTGCTAAGTCGCTGACTGGAAAGCTCTACTCAAACAAACCCCTCAGCTGACAGACCTGTCACCTGACACTCCCACCTGTTGATTCTGTAGAAATAATAAAACTAGGTGTGCTCCTTTGGACCACAATGTCCTGATAAGAAAGAACTGAAACCTGCTTTGTGCAAAATGAAACCACGAAGAGAACAGTTTGGACCGTGTTGACTCTAAAACAAATGAAATCTAGTGTCATCATGTGGGACTGTGAAAATAATATATACCATAAATACAAAGTTGTCTATTGAGATGTGTGGAGCCACAAATCTCACGCCTGTGACCAGATGTGCACATTTACAACAGAGTAAATCATAACGACCAAATGTCACAGGAGAAATGCAACAATACAGTTCCCCTCAGTGCTGTAAAGGCAACCAGCACATGTGCACAGAAACTCTTTCAGCCTCACACATTGATCATGAAGAGCTGCACTTTACTCAGTTTCACTTTAGCAATAATATTTGTAGTGTTCTTCACCATTATAATGACCTGGACTCTGGGTGAGCCGGCTACCGTAGTGTTGACAAATGAAAGGAAAGGCTGTGGCCTTTGCCATCACCAGACCTGAACCCAGCTGAACACTTATTTGAGGTTTTTGAAGTGACTGCGCTCTCAGCGTCATCACCAGATGGGCGAGTGTCTGTTGGAAGCACCATGTCCACCCCTCCACAATAGATCCAGACTTGGAGAGATCTCAGAGAGCAGCACTGAAGCTGATGGAAGCTGTTATAGCGGCTTGATGTGGAGACTTTGATGATCACGGCGCAGGGTCTTTAATTTGTCACCCATTTGTACCGTGTGTGGATGCAGATTTATCAGCTTCACATCAGCATCTGGCATCTTTGCTGTCCTCCTGCACCTTATCATTATTCTGAAAAAGAATAAAAAGTAACTCTTACTTTCATTAATTAGAAATTAGTTGAAGTAAAAGAGGAATGTGAACACCTTAAAATACATTATTAATGTAACTTTCATTTTATTTCTATAATTTAAAAGTATACTAAAGCAGATGAACTTGATACAATTGAGTTTCATAAGTGATTTATAGGCTGGTATTAGTTTTACTAAAGGAAACAGTTTGGGGACGTTCTGCAGCATTTACTCAGTGAAGGATTGATACAATTCTCATCAAAAGATTAATGTGAGTGAATGTTTGTGTCAGTAACAGACTTGATAGTAGTAATACAAGTACCAGTAGAAGTAGTGGCATTTGTAGTACGACCGTGGTAAAAACAATAGTAGAAATACACTGAAAACAGAAAATTGTTGGACGAACTCAAAAATAAAAACACAAATGGTAACACACAAATTATTTTTGTATGTTAAATTCAAATTATGAACTGGCTTTCTATAACTTGTTAACTTTATTTTAAGAATACTTAATTCTTGTGTATGTTTCCAATTAAAGTAATTTTTATAGTAATATATTCATGGTACTGTACTAGTAGAAGTGACAGTATTGGTAGTAGAAGTAAAAACAGTTATAGTATCAGTAGCAGGAGTTGTAATAGAAGTTACAGTGGCACAAGATATTAAATAGGAGTGACGGTGTTCGCAGCAGTAGTAGTAATAATGATAGTTGAAGAAGACATAGTAGAAGTAGCAGTACTGTCAGTAGTAGTGGCTGCTTGTCTGGCTTTACATGAAACTACAAATTATTACAATCCAAATCCAGAGCGCTGCAGAGACATTTTCAAATAATACTACAAACACTCAGAAAATAAAGAAAAGCTGTTAAATTCCCTTGTACAGTCAAATCTTCAGATGCTGATCAGAAGCAACTTCACAAACACGTACTGTATCATGACTGCAGCGCTGGAGAAATCAGAATGAACACTTGGTTAACATCATGCTGTCTTTCCTAACTGCTTGTGAGAAAACAAAACAAGTCATTTGGTCGTTTGTACAACAAAATATTTCAGAGGTTTGTTGAACTTTTTCATGGAAATTATAGAAATGAATCTCTGAAATCACACAGCTCACAGCTCTTTTTTCTTTAAATCTGTCTCAGCAGATCACTTCTCTACTGTTGAACCAGAGCTCAGCAACATGTTCTCTTTATTTAAGGGAACTTTACAGCACATCAACCTTCCTTAAATGAGGCTCTTTAGTCATAAGAGATGTTTACGCCTTGTGTTTGAATGTTAATCAGGCAGATGCTGTGTAATGTCTTATTGTTGAGGTCAGCAGCAGTAGTTGTCTCATGCTCTGTCCACACTAACACGATTTTGCAAAAGCTCCCCCACCTCTGTGTTTGTTCTATTCTTTATATTTTGTCTTCAAATGTATGTTAGACAGACTCCTTCAAGCTGTGCCCTTAAGCTACCAGACCAAAACAAAGATTTTAATAGAAACCTTCCAAAGTGCAGATTCTCTGCGCGTGTTTGGGAAACGATGACATCACAGTTGACTTTGCCCACTGTTGCTTTGTGTAATGATCATGCACCAGTAACAGTTTGCAGCTAAATGTAGCTTCACTGCTCCACATAACCGACATTCACAAGCGTCTGCCTCGGTCAGTATTACTTGGACCACAGCGTTGATGTCGCCATGATGACTTTATCGCCACCTTCTGGCCCGACATGTTTGTTTGAGCATTTGTAGGCCTTTTTTCCCCGTCGTTATCGTTTGGACG